TCAAAATGAGATTCGTATCATTTAAGAAACCAGTGAATCATTATTTCCATTCCATGCAACATTGCCCAAAAAGAAAAAAAAAACCCAACTGTGGTAACTCCAGACATTTTGTGAATGTTTTCTATGCATCTTTTCCCATGAGTTAGCTTTTTAATAAGTAAGAACTATCCTAAACTAAAGCAGCCTGCCAAAATTACAAACTCAACACAAAAAAGATATAATTTAATATTTATACCTTCATTAATCTTCAAATGATAATTTCAGAATCTTGCCTTACGTTAGAAATTAATTAATAACGTTTAAATTTGTTAGTAACACTCCTTTCATTTTATTTGCTAACCAGTAGAGGGAGAGAAATGCCACATCTATGGGAGCTTTCCAGTTCTTTGAGGTTTGCTTGGCATTTTTTGTCACGGTTCGCTTACAGCAACCTCACAGTGTAAATACTAGAATGCATGAAAGAGAGAATAAACATGAGTTTCTGACAGTCTTCTAACAGTCACTGACAGGCGTACTGCGTGAACATGTCATAATCATTTTTCCATACCTATTTGCTGATATTTTCCACTTTCAATTGCCAAGAACGTCCAAAACCTTATGATGAAGTCTACGGACAACAGTTGCACAATTGCAGGGCTTTTTGTGCATATACTTGTAGTGGATTGTTAATGCAACGTACAAATATTTTTTTTCTTTAAACCACAGACAAACACACACACACACACACACACACACACACACACACACACACACACACACACACACACACACACACACACACACAAAAGAGGGTTTTCTTTGCTTTTAGTGCGTGCCGCAGATTAATGACAACAGCTCATTAAAGACTTACGGGAAAGAGACATGGTGTTATGGACTGCAGCTATTTATTACTTCAACAGTGATTACAGCTCAGTCGCTGTCAACAGGTGCTTCATCCTTAGGCTGTAAACAGGTGCACGCAGGTATGCAGGTGAAATTTTCCACAGTGTTGCCTCATGAAAAGAATGAATTATGAGGCTGCTTCAAAATGTAAAGCAAATATTTATATATATAAAAAAGCAAAGGAAGGCATTAAAGCAAAGTAACCATTATTAATTAGCATAATCATGTTTACTAATAGGAGCACTGAGAGACTAAATTTTGTGGGGAATTAGGTTTTTTTAAAGATTAGTTTATCCATCCATCCATTCGCTTCCACTTATCCTTTTCTGGAGGTGCTGGAGCCTATCCCAGCTGTCATAGGGAAAGAGGCAGAGTACACCGTGGACAGGTCACCAGTCTGTTGCAGGGCTAACACAAAGAGACACAGACAACCATTGGCACTCACATTCACATTTATGGGCAATTTAGATTAATGAATTAACCTATCCCCACTGATTGCATGTCTTTGGATGGTGGGAGGAAGCTGGAGTATCCGGGGAGAACATGCAAACTCTACACAGAAAGATAGTGGAATTGAACTCAAGACCTTTCTGCTGTGTAGCAACAGTGCTAAGCACCGTGCTGCTTAGCATCTTGTTTGTTTAGGTTTACTTCACAGTTAAGTTAATTGAAAAGCTCATGTGATTTAACTGCAATCTGAATTTTTAATGAATAAATAGATATGCAAAAAAGTTGGAAATTAACAATAAATGATACAGTTGTAAAGAGTGTAAAAAAAACAGTAGAAAAAATAATTTTGATCAAAAGTAGGAAACTGAGTCAAAGTAAATGTGCACATGTGACACATAAAGATTCACTGATCCCTTGTCATTTTTAAATCATTTCATTGTAATTTTTTTGCATATTGTCAGGAAAAGTAAAGATTGTTTTGTGTCGCATTTAATGTAATTCAGTGCAGTGCCTTATTGCATTTGAACACACTTAAAAACATTAAAAACATTATATGTTTTTTTTAAAAATAAATAGAATACAAACATCGCCATAAATATATCAGATAATTAAACTTACCAGTTTCCATTAGTTACTTATTAGTTTTAATGAAAAAAATGTTAATGCTCTTCAAACAAAAAATTTAAATGACTTATAATCTGTTTTTTCCATCTTGAGACCCAGCTCGGTCAGAGGTCTTTGTAGGCAAAGGTGTGTACCTCTCCTAAGACTAGTGGTCATGCGTGGTTAGTGGGCAGACCTGTTCAATGACACCTCTGATAGCTTTGAAGGTAGGCAAATAAACGGATTAACAGGCTGTTGTGGATAAATCATTGAATCAGCAAATCAGGATTTTTAAAGCATCCACAGCTGGAGAAAACTATTCTTTTAATTATACTGAATTATACTGATTTCATTTGCTCTTGATTATTTAATTAATTAGCTCATTGTTAATGAAAAGGGAGAAAGTAAAAAGCAAAGAATCAAAACATAAATTTGTGACCATCAATCCAAACGCATTTTGCTATTTATTTATTTGAAAATATATGTGTTAAAGAAAGGCAGCAGATCTTTATGTTTTAGCAGCAGCAAATGTTTGTGGGTTGTTTTTTTCCGTAAAATAATGAAGAAAATATTCATTCTCTCTCTTTTTTAAAAATAAAATCCTTCAATGACTGTTTTGCCTACGTTCGTTTAATCCCAGCATAGGATAACTGCTAAAGATAAGTAAGAAAACCAAAAAAAAAAATAGGCACTTTATTCCTATTATTTTCCTTCTGTGGTTTTAAATATATAAAAAAACAAATTCTCAGAATGTTCTGTTCTTGGACGCATTGTTTAATTTCTTTATCAGGAGTTATTAGGCATAACTACTTTTTACACTTGCTTGTTTTGGTGTTGAAACTAGACAACGGGATTTATCATTACTTATTTTCTTTTTTCGATTTGTGTTCCAGAGAAGTTTCTGTGATATTTTTAGATGTTGTTGCACCTTTACTGCCAAGTTACAGTTCCTGCATGTTTTTTAAAACAACAAAAACAACCTTTAGCATAGCATACAAGGGCTGTGGAGCTTTTCCTGGTAATGCATCCTATAATTTACATTTCAAACTTTCCAAAATACTTTAGCATTATTCTCAATACCCTAAAACATATCTTATTATGTCCATGTGTTTACTTTTCCAAACAGTCTCATGAATTTCTTTCTATTCTGCCGGCTCCATGTGATGCGTGGGTGCTGTCCACCATCTCTGAAGGAATGCATGAACGTTAGTGTGGCAGAGTGCATTTAATAACTGCTGGGCCTGTTTTAAACCAACCAGACCAGCATCCTTGTGTAATGGGTGAAGAATGTGCGTACGTTAGATAGGAAAAGGGAATGAACGGGATGCATTCATTGTTGTATGGCACCCTAGTTACTGGAATCACTTCTCCATAAGGTGATACTCCAAGTTGTTAAGGAATGTTAACACGTTATGAAGTGGTGGTAGAAGAGCAGGCTTTTCCTAAATCCTCTGCAAGTCTGGGCTTGTGGAGAACACCTGTAGCAATGAACCCAAAGTGACAGTGACAACTTTACAAAGAATGCTGCATTTAATATTTGAGTGTAATCAAGTACAACTTGTGACCGCGGGTGTAATGCTGGTTGCGTTAACAAGTCAAGTTTTTTGGGCATCCATCCAAGACTCTGGTTTCGATAACATTGTGCGCATCTTGAGCTATCGTCTAAACCGGATCAAGTAAGCTGGGTGACAAAAGATATTCTCAGAAGCAGGTTTTAAAAAGAATAAAAACACGGATATCAACTCAGGATGAGGAGGATGAGGAGATAGAAATATCCAGTAATCACAATAGGTTTTTAATTCAGGCCGTTTCGTCAGGGCTGAATGCTGGGAAACAGACGGCAGGTACTATTTAGAAATTGCACCCTAAAATTGCACTTTTTATTGCTCACGTTTTTATGTCAAGCACAATTTCTGACAACCAGCGCGCCATTTCAAAGCTTCCAATCCTGTTTCTGCCTATAACAGAAGCACTTATCCGTTTCAAGCTTTGTTACAATTCACAGTGATTATCCCCTTCAGCCAACCCAATTACCTTAAACTCTTTCACACGTGCAGGCCCATTTATACAGGAAGAGACCCTAATTAAGACAAAACATAAAAAACAGAGTTAATCTTACATTCTAGCGGCACTATGCATGCTGTGTTCAGTAAGAACATCGTTTTATGTGGGTGTCATACCTGACTAACACTAAGTGTGTGAGAGGAAAATTACCGTGTGACATAATAGCTGTAATTAGGGATTTCTTTTGCGTAGACACGAATGAGAGGTTACAAAGGATGAATGTGACATTTCCTCCTGGACTCCATTAAAGATGTTCAGCAAGCAGCAGAAAAGTATTAGTAGGCTCAGCAGGAGTCTAGATTATATGGCTCTATAGTCTGTGGTCATGGGGGCCTCATATCTACGAGGATGTCACATAATTGCATGTCACTTTAGAG